ATTTCTGTGAAGCTGGAGTTAGCACAGTGTAACCTGTGGGTGTGAAGCTATCCGTCAAGAGGAACCATCAAGCATGGGGAATCTTCAGGATGATTTCAAAGCATTTCTGCAGAAGGGTTCTGCCTATATTATCTATGCCCAGACAGTCTTGTAACAGAAAACAGGAATCTCTGACCTGCAGAATGCCAGAGACCATCTTCCTCTGTGGCCTGTGCTGTTTCATCACCGTTTGTTCACTGACTTCCTCTCAGTGTGTTCGACTCTGGGCAGGTTTTAGGGACACATTGGGAGACAAGACAGATGCAGCCCCTGCTGCAAGATCAATCCGAAAGTCAGGAAATGAATAAAGCCATTTAGCCACTGATAACTGTGGTGAAGAAAATAAAACAAGGCGAGAGTGCCGGGGAGAGACCTCCCTGGAAATGGTCATCTTGTGGGAGGCTGCTCAGGACCAGCGTCCCCAGCACAGGGAAAGGACAGTTTCAGAGGCCCGAAGAGGATTAGCATCAATTCTGTGCTTTTTACTTTAGCGTAGTGGGACATTCCCGAGTTGCGTTTACAAACTCTTTTTTCCGACTTGACCTGGCTTTCTACCAGATGGTCATGATTTCATTTTCTCTCTGTGTTTCTTGCTTCTGGCTTGAGCTCAGCTCCTGCATGGGCTGACTGGTCAGCCGGGTTGTACCAGACGCACACCTTGTTTTCCCCAGGTCTCCTCTGCTGGAAGGTTACTCGATTTTATTTCATGTTCTCTTTCTCTGTACGCAGGGATTACCAGCAACAAAAATATCGTGAAAGTAGATGGGTCAACATTTTTGTGATTTCCAGGTTGAAAGCCCACATCAGGGTCCGTGGTGGTAACCAACAGCATCCAAACGTGGTTACCTTGGGTGGAACAGAGCAGAGCAGACAGCCTGGTGGCTGGAGAGCCAGACTTGGGGCAACCTTGGCAGGAGCAGACGCTGTAACTGGTCACTGAGAGCATTTCTGGGGCGACTGCAGGATGCTGATGCTGCAGCCAGTGGACACTGAAGGTGCCAACAGCCCTGCTGCCTCTGTTGCCAAAGAGGACACTCCGGGCTGTCCCCGCAGTCGGCGAGCAGACTTGTCACACACGGGGCGCACCCGTGTAGCAGCAAAGGCTCATGTGAGCAGGTGTCCGGCTTTGGCAGCTTCTGTACTAGGAACCAGGCTCTGCTTCCCACCCAGACTCCCTGGGCCCAGGATATCCCCAAACCTAGGAAAGGGTTTCAGAGACTGGAAAACCAATAAAATAAATGGCCATTACAGGGTTTGTGATTTTCGAGCATACCCAGGGGATAAAGGACCCCACACAGTGGGAACTTCTTCTCTGTTTAGAACGATTATTTGGGGCAAAGAAAGTGCTATTGCAAGGTGGGACCAGTAAGGGGTATTGGGAGAGTGGGGGTGACCTGGCTCGGCTGGACGTGAGAAGGAAGTTAGGGGAACCCTTCAGAGATACGTTGGAGCCAACGTGCGAAAACCATGCTGAATATTTATTGAATGTTTGGCCTTGATTTTTTAAGTAAAAGGGTTGTCACTGAACATTTTGAGGTAGAAAATCACCCAGGAAGAATATGACTTTAGAAAATTAATTTGATAGGACAGAGGAGTGAGTTCAGTGTTTACTACTGTAACCCCCGTGGGAATTGAGGCTCTGGGCAAGGCCGAGGAGGGATACTGTGAGGGGCCTTCTAATTGCCGGGAGGAGGGGAGCGGAGAATTGAGAGAGGTGCCACAGCGGTGGGAGCCCCAGGTTTTCCATTCGGGGTGACTGGGAGAAGGTGGCATCATCGGGGCAGGAGGACTCGACACGGGGGTGGGAAAAGAGTGGTTTGCTCGAGATGGTTCTGCAGCAAACCGGGCTCCAGACAGTGAATTTAGGAGTCAGAAAATCATGGTTCTACAACATTAGAATGTGGAGATGGTCTACTCTCATGCCCTCATTTAATTTTAAAGATAATATAAAATTTATTAGTTTGTGCTTAGTAGAAAAGACAGTAGATGTACAAAAAAAAGAAGCAAAAATGGGCCGTAATCTGTTTTCCAAATAATCCCTCTTGATCTAAAAAAAAAAAAAAAAAAAAAACAAACCACCATAAATTGGCATAGTGCACGCCCAGGACTAGAGCGTCAGATGGTGTGGGCAAGCTCAGAGAGAAATGCAGAAGCCCCCCTCCGGGACCCCGCCATTGCCGTCGCCGTCACCGAGGTGCGCATGGTGACGACGGGAGTGTGCTGCACACAGCTGTACCTTTCCTGTTTTTCATACCATTTTCAAGATGTATTAAGTTAAAATGCATGAGATTGTCTTCCTCACAGTCCCACACATCTTAGGCATCTTAGTAGTATTTCATTTCATGGCATGTAACTCGGAGTCTGGATAGCGGCCAGTGGCCACAGTGTCTGCTGTGCGGGGCCATCTCCTTGCACTGGCCCCTGCCTTCTCTCCACCTCTCTCGCACTCCTCCCCAGTAGAGACAGGACCCTTTCTCCAGGCTGACTGTTCTGTCCCCAACCTGACTGCCCGCTCCTCTTGGGCTGCAGTTCCCGAGTGTCACTGTCCCCAGGAAGCCCTCTGTGACCCCAGAGTCATCAGGTCACCTCCACTTTCCCTACATGAGCTGCTCCGTGAGGGCAGGGCCCTGTCTCTCAGTCACGCCGGTACCCCGAGTGTGCAGCGTTGTGCCCGAGGAACTTTATCCACGGCAATATGTTCTCTGACTTTGGGCAGATAAACATGCTTATGGTCTGGAAACATTTTGATCTAGAAAATCACCCAGTGATTATAACTGTAGAGATATGGAGCCATTTGCAGTCACTGCTGTAAAAGGAAAGTGTTTCTGACACTTGTTTAAGCCAGCAAGGAAGACTCCATTCAAGACTATTGCAACAGGGGAGGACTCGACTCCAGTGTGGCAGGGACAAGGGTGGATGGAAAGCCGAGGGCAGGGTGAGGGAGTGGGTGGAACGCCACTCAGGGGAACTGGATTAGACATCGGGGTGGAGGAAGGGGTGCTTGGTGGGGTCTTAGGGGATACACTCAGCAGGTCTCTGCTCGCCAAGGACCGGACCTTCTTGAGAAAAGGACTCAGGAACCTGGCTAAAGTTTGGTCAAGGAGGGGTCATTGCATTGCCAGCCAAAGGAGCCACGTGGCAATGATGCTCTTTAGTATCTACTGCCACATCCTGAAAAAGACAGGAGAGACCCTTGGGAATGAGAGACTACACACAGCAAAGCTCTGTGCAGCCAAGCATCGCCGGAGAACGTCAGCGGGATCCACATCCAGGGCGAACTTGCATTGTTCCTGTGTTTCAAAATAGGAATGATAAAGTATAGACTCCACCCTTCCTCCCAGGAGAATCCTAAAGACTGATTATGCTTCCAGAAAGACCTGTCAGGTGTTTCAGCTCCTGGCAGTGGGTGCTGGCATTGTCCTCTGAGACATCATCTCACATGCTCCTGGTTATGGGGCTAACCCGACCTGCCTCCATCGGTGACTTCAGTCATGGACATAACCGAGCTCCGTCCCATGGGGCACTCTCCAAGCTAATTTTGCATCCTTACCGCTCTGGGTATTGAGTCAGCCAGGGTGATCGCACAGCCCTGTGCCCGGGGCACTGCTGGTTTTTGCCTGTTGTCCTGGAGTAATGATTAGCAGAGCCTGTTTTCATTCTTGGACTGTCCCAGTTTGGTTGATACATGACGTGGCCCCTTGGCTAGTTGTCCCTCTGCAGAGAGACTAACTGTGGGCCTAGCACTGCTGCCCTGATGTGAGCCACGATAGATCCCCTGCAATGACTAGACATGAGCCGTCAGTTTTTAGCGAGGCAGCCGGTGGTCAGGAAGATTCTTGAAGAAATCAGCAAACATGAAGAACCGTACTACAGGCTCTGTCGACTTTCTCAGTGGGAGTGAAGGAAGATAGGGGAGCTGCGGGGATGGGAGTGGCAGACAGGAGGGTGAGGCTGGGACATCCGGGGATCTGTGGTGAAGTGTCACCAAAACCGCTGGTTGTACGTGCTTGGAAATCATGGTGAGTGATACAGTGAGCACATTTTAATGAATGGTACTGTGTCCTTATTTCAGAGTGTCCATGCAAAGTGCTGGCAAGACAAGAATTTGCTTCCTATTTCGCAAATCATGGGTGTGAGAGAAACCACCCCCAGTTCTCATTGCTGATCTGCTAAATCATTCCATCTGGGGGCTGGAGGTGGAGAGGAGGCCTGCCCAGAAATCTGTGTTTTCAACAGAGTCTGGAGTTCGGATGGGGAGTTTGGTTTGAGAACCACTGCCTTGGACATTTTGCAACAAAGATGTGTTCTTATTAACTTGCATATATTTGCAGGTTGGATCATGTATTTAATTATTTAACAACCCCTTGTTGACTGTCGTCCTGGCCTGGGGCTCAGGAGGCAGCAGTGAGCGACACGATTTGTTTGCTGCCCAAGGAGTTTTCCCCGACAGACAGATGGGCCTTCACCTGGTCATGCCCTCGCAGCAGCATCGCCACCCAGGGGACACAGAGGGCTGCCAGCACTGAGTCGGGGGCCGAGTCGGAGGCCAACCCTGGACTCAGGGCTCAGGACAGGCCAAGGGTGAGGTGGGCGGGAGCGTAACCGCCTGCAGCGGGCACCGTGTGTGCAGTGGCCTCGTGCAGCAGAGCCGGGGCTGCGGGGCCAGGGTGGGCAGGCGGGGCAGGGGACTTGGGCCCTCAGAATGCCCACCAGCACTGCAGGGCTGCAAATGAGGATGACGGGGTCCAAGCCGGGCCCTCAACCCAGCGAGGCGATGGGCACCACCTGCAGCCTTCCACAGGCTGCTGGGGGTGCTGGGTCGCCCGCGTGTCTGTCAGGGAGGGGCTGTACTGGGGAAGCGCCTGGCCTTTGCAGGGATCCTGCTTCTGGATGAGGCCCCTTCTGCAACGCCACCCACTTGGAGTCTGCCGGGCTCACGTCTGTGTCTGTCTTCCTCCTAGATCCTGCCCGGCCTGTACATCGGCAACTTCAAAGGTGAGTTCTTGCTTTTTTATTGTTGTGGTAAAATACACATAACATGAAATGTGTCATCTTGACCATTTTAAAGTGTATAGGTCAGTGGCTTTAAGTAATTTGCATTGCTGTGCAGCCGTCACCAACATCCTTCTGCAGGACATTTCCCGTTCCCAAACTGAAACTGTGTCCCTGTTAAACACTAACTCCCCATTCCGCTCCTCCCAGCCCCGGGCAGCCACCGTTCTGCTTTCTGCCTCTAAGAATCTGACGACTCTCAGAGCCTCCTCCTAGTGGAATCACACAGTGTTTGTGCTTTTGAGATGGGCTTATTTTACTGAGTATAGTGTCACAGTTCATCCATGTCGTAGCAAGTGTCAGAATGGCCTTCCTTCTTAAAGCCGAATAGTATTCCATGGTGTGCATAGGCCTCATTTTGCTTCCATTTATTTGTTCGTGGACATTTGGGCTGTTTCCACCAAGAGTGAGTTCACTTTCTAAAAGATCAGCTTGAGACTTCTCATGGGTGAGACTGACAGGCAAAGTGTAGGCTCAGGCTACAGTCTGTTCTGGGAGTGGCCACCACTTGCACCCAAGCCCCTTGCTGGGTGCACCCCAACCCCTTGCCCGTCCCCTGATGGAGTGGGGTGAGGCTGTGAGGCTCCAGCTGTGCCTCAGGTGCTCCTTTTAACTCTCCACACCCGTTGGGACATTATCATCAAAAGATGGTGGACAACAGGCACATTCAGCAATCATGTGACTTACTTATAACCTTTGACCACTTTCATTTTTTAGTTACTGTTGAGAAATTTTCAGAAGCCTGTTCTTTTTAAGTCACCCGGGAAACAAGAGTGACAATTTCATTTCTGGCAGATTCTCCTCGTCTGCTGCTGCTGCTCTTCTCACACATTTCCTGCCCCTTGTTCGGTACTGATTGATTCACTGTCGGCTACTGACTCTATTTTCACTCGGCTCTAGAGCTCGGTGGTCCCTGGGCCTATCGGCTTCCAGGGAGGGGCCAAGTCCGCCTGCCCCAGGTGACATTCAGAGTTTCTGTAAGTGAATCACTGAGATGAGGTGGGAGGATAGAGATGAGGGGCCCTTCATAGGCTGGGAGGGGCTTGGGAAGCTTGCAGACAAGGCCCCACCATGTTAGGCTGGACAGAGCCAGACCGTGTCGTCGGCAGCTCCTGCTCCTCCCTCCCCTCACAAGCCGGAACTTGGCCACTCCTGTCGGCTTTCTGGATGCTACTGAAATTTCCGAGTTCAGATTCAAACTGATTGTGCAAATAATCTTTATTATTTCTCTGCACTCTGTCTGATGTTTATTTCCACACACCTCCAACCCCATCTCCCTCCAGCTCACTCATTGGCCTCCAGGAGAATTAAGCACAGAGCTGACAGCTGCTAATTGTACAGCATGTTAAAAATAGTGCTGGGCTTGCTAAATTAGTAAGCGTTGTAGTTCTGAAAAAGCAGCAAACCCGTTGTGGGGGGCAGGCCGGGGGACATTCGTGAAGCGAATGTCAGAGTTATTTAGTGAGGTATTAACTGTTTTCATGGGGAAAGGGAGTGTCTTTGAGAACAGAGTTTAGGATAAGTTCTTAGAAGTAGAATTGCTGGATGAAAGGTTTGAAATTGAACATTTTAATAAATATGAACCAAATTCAATACTTCTGACAATAGTATGTGAGAGTTTCAGCCTTAATCATGAAAGGTTACCTTTTCTGGAAGGATGGCTTTAAGAAAATATTTAAAATTCTTTTCATACTACACGCTACACCTGTTTTCTAAATATTCCGTGACATAGGACTCCTTCCGGGTTCCTGGGTCTCGTGCTTTGTGGTTTAGTCTCTGAGAGTGCTGTGGACAGCCCACCTCCTCTCCTTGTTCATCGGGTGGATGCTGTGTTACTACCTTGAGTTATTCTGATGTTGGCCTGAGGTTGTGTTTTATTCACTCGTTAGCCAAACATTTATTAAATGCTTTCCAGGTACAAGGCTTGTCTGAAAGAAAGGAAGGAGAGTGCAGTGAATTGGCAATAGGGCTGGAAGGAGAGGAAGTATTTTCCCCTGTTGTGCTGTGAATTCACTTGTTCATTGCACAAGCTCGTCGGGAGCACACAGTGTGCTGGGAGTTGGATGTGGACCAGCGTCCCTGTCCTCAGGCTGTCAGAGTCCAACAGCAGGTGCAGAACAGGCAGGGGCCAGTGTGTGTCCTCAGACGAGTTACACACCTGGGGGTGTGGACTGGGAAGATGGTGTCTGCCTCACAGGGCTGTCGCGGGGCTGACCCAGACGATGGGTGATGCCCTTGGTGGGCTCAGTGCCCAATACCTGGTGCCCTGAGAAATAAACACCCACATACTCACTGCTACTGCCCTGGGCCCGATAGATGTCAGGTCTGCAGTAGGCAGCTGGGTGGCATTAGCTGGCAAGGGTGGAAACCTGTGTGGAATGTGGCCTCTTTCTTTTTTCCTGGGCGGTGAATCCAGCTGTCATCTGGGCTCTCGCCTGGCATCTCATATAGTCATTTATCTTGCTCTTTTAAAATCACAAGTAATACGTACCTCTTGTAACACAGGAACCAGTAAAGTGGAAAGGAACGTGGACAGTCACTCCCTTCTTCTGTCCCTTCTCCTTCCTCCGCTCCCTTCTCTTCCCCTTCCCATTTCCTCTCTTCCCTCCCCACTTCCCTCCTTTTCCTCTCCCTCCCTTCCTTCCTTCTCCTCTTCCCTCCTTCCTTTCAGTGGGATCCCTCACATGTCACTCTGCAACCCTTAAAAAAAAAAAAAAAAAAGCTTTGTAACGAATCAACAAATGGTTTTGCAGCACCTGGTGACTTTTCCTCCTGGAGAAGACCCACAAACAGACCCAGCTCTGAGCCCGGTCTTTGGGTCTTGGACGCTTTGGTGAGAGCCTCTCTGTTGGGGCTGCCCACACGCCAGGCAGGAAGCCAGAGAGAGCAGCCCCTCCCTGGGCCAGAGGGTGGGTCCGTGGCTTCCTTCCAACTGGGCACCAGCAACAGTGGATGTCAGCTGACACAGGAAGCCCTCGTTGTTTGAAGATGTCCACAGATTCTAGAAAAGAGGGAACGCTCTTCGGTACGGTGTGTTTGCCGGTGGTGCGCGTTGAGACCACGTTCGCAGTCTAGAGCTTGTGTTTTGTGTCTGCCCGTGAGACAGACAGTCCTGGTGGGTACCCAGCTGTTTGGACAAGGCCAGCCTGGTCAGAGGCAGTCTGCTGTCCGCTCGCTGAGACAAGATAACCAGGCTCAATAGGTCAGCGTGTGTCCGTCCAGACTTATTTTTTCCACATGAATTCCAACTGGTTACCTTCCTGTTGGCTTTATGAGTTATTAGCCTGTTGCATTTGTGATTGGCAGTTGGGGAGGGCCCACTGGCACCAGGCTGAAGTCCGCTCCCTCTGGGGCTCGCTGTTAGGGTGCACGTGGCCTTCTGGGGTTCTCGCTAAAGTGCACGTTCTGATCAAGTAGACCCGGGGTGGAGTCAGCTCCAGGTGATGCTGTGCTGCGGGTTGGAGGACCCCGTGCTGAGCACCAGCATGCTAAGTTCTGCCCCTGTAGGTCTGTGCTCCGAAGGAGCGCGCTGGAAATTTACAAGCTTGTGTCTGTGCCCCGAGGAAGCGCCACCCTGGGCCTTACAGCTGGATTCCCAGCTCGTGACCTCACTGCTCACTGGCCTTCCAGGACAATCAATAATGTGAAGTCCATAAGAAATAAAGTTCCAGTGTCATCACCCAGCGGGTTTCATTAAGCATTTTATGCACTCAAGTAAGTGGGCAGAGCCTGTGCCTCATGGGAAGGGATGCATCAGCGGACGTGGTGCGAGCGTGCAGTGAGGAAGAGGAGAAGCGCTGGCCCTGGAGTGCTTCCCTTTGCTTTGGAGTCCAGCAGTCCGTTGGCTGTTGTGTGATACCGAGTGGTCTTCTGTATTCAGAAATGTATACTTTTTTTTTTTTTTCCCAGGCCACTTTAAAAAGATTCACTGTGTATTTGTATTATAAAGGCATTTTCCTGGGTGAAGAGAATGTTCTAAAGTTATGATCTGTGACGGTTACGCAGCCTTGTGAACGTATGAAACCACTGAATCATGGACTTGATCAGAGTCCATTTTATGGTATGTGAATTATCTCTCATTAAAGCTGCTGTGAAAGGAGAAAAGTAGATCTAAACAAATACGGATTGTTAAAATTCACACGCCAGGCGGAATGGGTGTCTGGAGGAGCCAGGTGGGAGGGTGAGATGAGCTGGCCCCGTCGGGCTGCCCCACGTCTGCTGGGTGCCTGTCCCACCTGCTGCGGGTTCGGGGAGCGCCAAAGCCCTGGCTTTGTCTGTTTCACTGCTTGTCTAAAATGTCCATGCTGGTGGCGATTGGAAAATCCCATTTTGGTGTGAATGTGGGACTGGCTGCCTGTGGCTTCCAAAACGATTCTAGCTTCTGCCTAATTAATTCTAAGCTAGCGCTGCTGGTACCCCAACCTGTGAGGGGTGGGGGGTTGGCAGTGAGTCCGCGTGTGCTGTGTAGATGGCTCCATCCATAGCAGGGGGCTTCGAGGTAACTCTTTAGCTCAAGCGGGAGTGAGAGGTGACTTCCTACATGATGGATGCCTTTCTGAGCCTGATAAAGGGCTCGTGTTCCTCATATAAAAAGGTTTTTTCTTTCTCACTTTGGGTCAAAAGATGAGCTGGTCAGAGAGAAACTTAGGCAACATACTTGAAAGCAATAGCCGTAAATTGGAAGCTCGAGAATTTGAATCTGGGAAAGCAGTAGCCTGGAATGTGAAGCCTGAGAGGTTGGAGCAATGAAAAGAGTCTTAAAATGAAACTGGTATTTTGATATTAGTTAAATTTTTTTCCTGACATTGCTGAATGTTTAGAACAACGTTTCTTGATTTCTGCGTCCTCATCAAGGCTTGTTAGAAATGGAGATTCCTCAGCCCCGGACTGGATCAGGAACTAAGCTCTGGCCTCCGCCTTTCTAACTCAGCCTCTTGGTAGTTCCCAGGGTGTTAGACTTCGGAGCCACTCATGTAGAACACACACACACACACACACGTAAACGATAAGGAAGGAGAAAACCACTTGTAATTCCGTCTCTGAGCTGGGGCTGCCTTTGTACCAGTCCCGCCGTGCTCCCTGCTGTGTTTGTCTCTGTGCTTTTCTACATTGGGTTTGTGTCACATCCATGGTTCAATTATACCCTGAGCATTTTCCCATGCCATGAAATAGTCTCCAGAACCATGACAGTTAAACATTTGCCTTTCTTTGTTGTTGTTTTGTTTTGTTTGCGGTGGACTCACTCTGTCACCAGGCTGGAGTTCAGTGGGGCGATCTCGGCTCACGGCAACCTCCGCCTCCTGAGTTCAAGCGATCCTCCTACTTCAGCCTCCCTAGTAGTGGGGATTACAGGTGCACACCACCACGCCCAGATAATTTTTGTAATTTTAGTAGAGACGTGGTTTCGTCATGTTGGCCAGGCTGGTCTCACACTCCTGACCTCAGGTGATCCGCCTGTCTCGGCCTCCCAAAGTTCCAGGATTACAGGCGCGAGTCACCACACCCGGCCTAAACATTTGCCTTTCAATCCATTTCTCCTGTATCATTTTGAAAAGCTTGGCCAGGCTGGGATGGGGGCGCAGGGCAGTGGACCTCCTCATTTCCTGCTGGCCCCCGTTTTCTAGATTAGTAGAAGGTTCCAATTCAGGGGATCACACCATTCAGTCTTCTTTTTGCAGGTGGGAACATTGGAAGGGAATATAATTTTGTTTTCTTCTTAGTTTCATGTGGAGATAATTTAATAGCCAGCTGAGAGCTGATGGACAATTCTGTTTGGAATTTCCAGAATGAGTTTCATTTTCTAATTGTGCTTTAAAGTGAATATAGATGATGTAAACCCCAGGCCTATCTGAATCCAGAACTGTCCATGCTTTTGACATCTGGGGAAAGAAGTAATGCACAGGTTCCTTTGTCGTGCAGAGTTGGTGGTTCTTTTGTATTTAGCTTTTTAAGAATTCTAATCATTAAGAGGTCATTGAATTTAAAAAATATATATTTTAAATATCCTTAATATTGTGTGTCTCATGCAAAAGACTGACCTAAGGTCGTCTCTTACAGATGCTGACTACAAAATGGTCTCGTAAATTTAGCTTCTTGATGATGTAATCCATCATGATTACAACGTTGATTAATCCAAGTGCACTTCAAGTTCTAGATTAACACTTTTTTTGCCTAAAAGGAAGAAGCTGAGGCAAAATTAATACAGAGAGTTTATTTGGGCCAAGCTTGAGGACTGTCGCCTGAAACACACTTTCAAGGTGCCTTGGGGAGTGCTCCAGAGAATAAAATAGAGGCTCAAGTTTTTAAAGAAAAAAAGGCAAATCAGGAGAGCGGTGATTACAAAAACTTGCTGAGCAGGAATTCTCATTGGTTTGTGGAAGTAACGTTGGTTAGTGACTGGCTAGACGATATTGAACTGCGATGTGCAGCATCTTACGGCTCCGTGGCATCAGTCTAGGGACCACATAGCAGATGGTTCGAGGTAGCCATTTAGCCAAGCGGGAGCGAGCGGAGGCTGCTGTTATATTCCAGAGGCCTTTCTGTGCCTGATCATTTCAAGGGACTCTTGTTCCTCATAGAAAGTTTTTTTCTTTGTCACTTTGGGTCAGAAGATGAGACAATCAGAAATAAAGCTAGACAAAAGGTATGAAAGCAGTAGCCCGAAATTCCGTACGTGTATGGTCAGTTATGAAGTTTCAGGAAAGAAATATGCAAGTCATTTTGTGGTTTTTTTTTTTTTTTTTTCTGGCTAGAGTTTAGGAGTAATTAACTTGCAAAGATATCAAAATGTCCATCTCCTTTCTTCTCTGACAGATGCCCGGGATGCGGAACAGTTGAGCAAGAACAAGGTGACACATATTCTGTCTGTCCACGATAGTGCCAGGCCTCTGTTGGAGGTAAGAGAGCACCGGGGGGCGTGTGTGGGTGTCTTCGTTTGTATTCCGTGGGAGTGCGTGTGACGTTCATGAAGGCAACCACGTTCTCTCCGTGCGAACCTGCTCCTGTGGTCTCTGACGGTGTTCCCATTGTGCCCAGGCCGTATTTACGTTACCGCACTGTCTGTGGCGTGGTGCAAGGGGGTGTGCTTTTTCTGATCACCCTCCTGCTGCGTTGCCACTTTGGCTTTCTTGGCTAAATGCCTAGCAATAAGCTGATGCTGCATTTCCCACTGGACCTTATGGACATTTAAAGCCCATTTTCGTTCCTTTCAGAGTTATCTCTGGTTTTAAAATCCAAAACACTCCAGCCTGCTCATTTCCTGATTTTGTCCCATTTAAGCTGAAATAGCCACCATTGGCATTCAGGGGTAAAAGAAAACAGAAGGTAAATTGTGCCTGGAGGTTTCCCAGGGCCCTGTAACCTGGAGACTCTCATGTAGAAGCTGTTGTGTTTTAGGTTTTCAGGGTAAACAGGGTGTGTCTGCTTGTGCACTAATTCCAAAAACATCTTTAAATTTACCCTAATGGACGGTTTGAGCTGTTGGCTAGAGGTAAAATCTATTTATGTTTATTGGCCTTGACAGAGCCCAAGTTACCTCCTTTTAGAAAATAATGCTGTGTGGTTGCGATGTGTCTGTGTTTTTCTATTTTAGGGTGGGGTGTTGGAAAGGGAGGGGTGACTTGTTCTGAAAGAAAGAATCCTGGTTCAGGCTGTTTTCATTTAGATTTCTATTAGGCAAGAGTAGGTAATGTTTTTTAATTGTATCTATTCTCTTTAGCCATAAGGGCTGCCAGATTTTAGTTAGTATAAAGCAAGCTAAAACTAGTGAGAATGTAGAATAATAAATGATTCTACTAAACATTGTAGTACCAGAGAACCATAGATGGTGAACAAACCTCAATTAATTTCTCCAGATCGCCGAGCTCCTACTTCCTTGTATTGTTTAGCTCATAAATTTTTTTGGTAAGGTGCCGTAATTTGTGTTCCAGTGTGATTTTATTGGAAATAACAACAACAACAAAACAGTTTTTGGAGCCTAACAGTTCCTTTGAAAATAGCCATTTTTTAATCTGTCAACAGTAGTTTGTATTTAAAATACAGCCAAGCTATGGCCAAGATGGTAAGTTAAACTGCAAACTGGTCATGATTGACTTCCTCTTAAATCACAAGATGAGGCTTGAGGTTTCCTTTATTTTAATAAATTGCAGAGATGCCCTCTCCACCCTCAGCCCCCAGGCCTGCCTCCCTGCTTTATACTCCATTTAATGGAACACACTGTCGTGTGTGCACATGACCCTTAAATCTGCTCCCATTGTAACCTCTGTGTAGACAGGAGATCTGCCAGTGTTAGAAATCAAAGCTCCAGCCCTTGTCACTCGGGAAGCCACAGGCTGGCGAGGGAAGCAGGGGGGGTTGTAACTCAGGTATAAAAAGCCCACTGATTGTGTAAAACCTCAGAGCTGCGGGCAAACTGTGTTCCCAGCACAACACACTGGAGATGCTTTTTTATTCCCTTTGTAGCTCAGTCTGTAAGGACAAATTTTGCCATTAAAAAGAGAGAGAAGTGCTGCCCTTTTGCCCTTTTTCTTCACTGGGTTGGCTTTTACTTGGAGACATCCTGTTGTGGTCTCTGGGTGCTGTTACTATCTTAGCTTCATAATAAGTACTTCCATGTGATTTTATATTTATTAAGTGTTATACCACTGTTTTGTAGCATAGTGTAGTTTAGTGTTGCCCCCTTAGCATTTTATTAATCTTTAAGTTCGCAAGTAATGCATGATCTATTCTTATTTTAAAAATTAAAACAACAGCCTCTGATTGCACAGTGGGGAAAAGTGAGGCACCAAAAGTTATTTGAATTGGTAGTGCCCACATTAAGTTATACTCTTAGAAGTTTCAAATCTTTGTTTAGCTGTCTGCCTGGGGCATAAAGGCAGCCTTCTGTCTTGAGTTTCAAATCCAGATCCAGAAGCTGTGTCCTCACGCAGCCCGAGATGAGTCAGGGAAATGACGTGTTTGCAGTCGGTGGGGAATTAATGGATGGGTTTGATGCCTCGGCAGCTCCGTGTTCTGCCGGCCCTGATCCCGGGAGAGAAACAGGGCAGGGATGAAGGTGAGCGGGGAGACTGCGGGGCCAAGCAAATGCAGTGCGCTGACCCCCCGGTTGGTGAGAGCCCCTAAGTGAGGGTGACGGGATAAATGGTAGGCGAGGAGAAAGCTGGGCCTCCTCTATTTTCTGAGATCGTCAAAACCACACGTGTTTATTGATGGCCGCTAGCTTCTCTGGGCAGCCCGGGCTGGGGCTTGGTAGGAAGTGGGAGGGTAGCTCCTGTCTAAAATGGAAGGGTTTTGGTCTTACTACGTCCGTGCAGGTGTCCTGCGAGCCCTGCTGCTGTGAAGCCGCGTACTGGGCACTACGCTGTGGATGCTTCTTTGGGTCATTTCCAACGAACGTCTCAGTGAGTTTAAAGCTCTGGGGTACTTAGCATCCATTACAAAGGGCTTTTTTCTCAGAGTTTCTACTCTAGTTCTACGTTTATTGTGATGGAGACCACGTGAGGGAGGGTATTCGTGTTGTTGGATGTGGTCATGCAAGTTTAGAAAACTTAGCACACTTTGTTCCCCTCTGGAAGGTTTGCGGTCGTGTAGTCAGAATAAACCCTTGCCTCTGTAGTGAGAAGGCCTCGGTTCCAGCCCTGGCCCTGCCACTCGCTGACAGATGATGAGAAGTCGCCCAGCCTAGGTGAGCCACAGAGGCACCAAAATAACACCATCCACCTCGCTGGACTCAGCGTTCTCAGAGGAAGTCATGTCCTGGCATTTTCTACCAGCTGGAAGGCCAGGGATCACGTTTTCTGAATTCCTAGGCATTGCCAAAGGCCCAGTCAGAGGTCTCCAGTCAGAGCCCAGTCAGAGCCCTGTTGTGCAGACATATCAGCCTTTGTGAGCCGGGAAACCTTGTGTGCGCTTGCTTATGTGACGCGCCTCCTACTGAGACCCCCCCTGGAATATTTCCTGTGAAATCCAGGGGATCCAAATAAGGAGGCCCCCATGGGAGCCTCTGGGGTGAGCACTGGTCCACAGGGTTGCTTGCGCAGCAGCTGGGCCGAGGCACCTGGGTGGGAGGGGAGGGTGCCACTCTGGGCTTGTTGCTGGCTGAGGCTGCCTCCATACAGGCTGCTGCCTTTCAATCCTGGTTTACGTGGTTTGTTGTGAGAACCTGCCGTAGGCAGAATGGAAGGATATACAGTTTTTGAGCCTGTTGCATCCTCTCTGGAGGTTATGATCTGTCACCTGTCACAACTCCCAACCAACGACTGTCTATGAAATGCACCCGCTACGAGAGATCTGATGAAGACAGTTTTAGTCCTTATACACTTACTGAGTTTACGTAGGAAGGAACTGAGGGACTTGGGACTTGGTTGCTTTTGGTTGGATTAGATCAGACTCCATTATTTGGGTAATTTGCTGGGGTTTGGGGTTTCCCAAAATAGCATTCACAGCATCTTGTACTCTTCCGCCAGCCTGGCTGGAAAAATAACCTGGAAGGTCTGTTCTCAGGCCTTCAGAGTGGCTGTGCCTTGCCTGTGGTCAGGGAGCGGCTGGATGGTCTCTGATGCATCTTGGGTGGATGAGACAAGGTGTGTTTATCCCCTGGACCGTGAGGGATGAGGTGGTCAGCCAAGGGAAAAAGGCCTGTGTCTCCAATTTCTACCTCTTCAGAAGAGTGGCTGAGGAGTAGACCTTCCAGAATGAAGATCTTAGAAACGTAATAGGCACCTGGGGACTTCCAGGCTTTCTGGTCCGCCCTAAAGTCACATCTGAGATTCTGAGGAGCTCTGGCCCGTTTCTGTGCCCCACCGCTGTCTGTCTGAGACAGAAGTCCCAGCTAAGCAGGGTCTAGAGATCAGCAAGCCCAGCTCCGTCTCTGGGTGGACAGAAACCTGGAAACCTGGACGATGGGAGACATGAAAGGGCTTGCCTGGGATTCATTCCCACGGCTGTCTGGATAGCCTGATGGAAGCCGGGAGTCCTCGTTCAGACCGGGGGTTTTCCCGGCGTGCCTTGCTGCCTCCGTTCTCTCCTGGCACTACCGACGTTTCTGATACCCTTAGTGGTATTGGTAGATCTTACCAGATCACCTTTGAAAAAGGTTGTGCGATTTGTGCTTGTTCTAGCAATGTATGAAAGTGCCTTCCCCCCCCCACGCCATCACCAGCACAGAGCTTTGCTCTTCTTTACTTCTAATTAGCAAGATTTTTGCTGTTATTTGCTGCAAATACCTTCTTCACACATCTCGTCCCTTTCCAGATAGTTCTTCCCTTTGAAGACAAAGGGTTACTAATTTATTCATTTCTTGAGCCCCCACTACGTTCCAGGCCTTGGGACAGGTACTGTGGGTAACAGAAGTGAGTTCATCCCAAGATCTTCCCTGGCAGAGCCTTTGGTATATGCACAAGATAAGCGTTGTAGATGCTTTATAAACATTAATGACAGTGAGAGAAGAGCCGTGGCTTGGAGCAGGTGCAAATCCCATAGGAACGGAACCGGTGGAAGCCCAGAGAATGAGGTCCCTCTTCTGCCGCTGAATCCGGAGTCATCTGACTGGGCCTTTGGCAATGCCTAGGAATTCAGAAAACGTGATTCCTGGCCTTCCAGCTGGTAGAGAATGCCAGGACATGACTTCCTCTGAGAACGCTGAGTCCAGCGAGGTGGATGGTGTTATTTTGGTGCCTCTGTGGCTCACCTAGGCTGGGCGACTTCTCATCATCTGTCAGCGAGTGGCAGGGCCAGGGCTGGAACCGAGGCCTTCTCACTACAGAGGCAAGGGTTTTGCAGCCAGCCATAGCCTTTCAGGAGTCCACTTTTGGTATCGAAACTTTGGAGCACATGATGCTGGTAAAATGGCGGAAAATCATTGCCACATATATTAATTTCAATAGAAAGTAAGCCCAGA